ACGTAGAAGAACCTACTGAACAACCCACTCCTCAAGTAGCAGAGTCCTCTAGACGATCTTCAAAAAGGACACAAGACAAACTATTAGGAGTCCGACATACACAACGGAAACACACAAAGAAAAGGAAGTCTGCGATCGAGGAATTGGCGGCGACAAAAAAAAACAACGAGAGGAAGGCTAAACAAGTCATGAGAAATGTCTTAACTATAGAAAAAATAGAAAACAAGCACAACCGACATGTTAGACACACTCCAGCAGACAAACGCTTAGGGGTAAAAAAGAAGGCAACTAAGAGAAAGTCGAGCAAGAAGAAAAAACAAAAGAAAGGCGCCCGGGCAGGACAAAGAGGACGATCTTCGGTTGATCAGTAGAGATTATGAGTCATCAACCTTCCACACTCTTTCTTCCTTCAACTGCCAACATTCACTCGCCGAGGACGTCGAGAATGGGGGGGGGGGGGCTGCTGTCGGGCGGCTCCAACACTACACCGCCCTTTACTTCCTTTCCGAGGGCACGCAACGAGACCCTCACTCGACGATATTCTACCTGGTCGGGCTTCATCGACCATGAGGCGGGCCAACACTGGGACCGACAGGGTTACCGACATTTACCGACCATGCAGTGGGACGACACACCGAAGAACGGGGTGACGGTATCTTTGCTCGACGTTATTTCGCGTGACTGGGACACACCGACCATGAGACGGACCGACGCTGCGATCAAGGAGCCTACTTTATCCGGCCGCGACTCACCGACCATGACGCGGGTCGGCACTGCGGGCAAGGGGTCCATTGGGCCGGTTGAGTCTTCCTCCGAAGGGGCGGTCCCGCTAGGGCGCGGGGTCCGCCTAGGCCAGAATGAGTGTCGGGGCCAGCCTTTACTTATAAGGCCAGGCCGAATTTTCCCTTTAAGGGCGGTACCACTACGGCGTGAGGGCCGCCTAGGCGTGGGCAGGCCTGAGACAGGCTCAGGACTAGCCATGGTACCAGGCCGCTGCAGAGGGCCCAGTTTCCTACGAGAAGGCCCTCTCCGCCGGTAGCTTTTCGAAGGCCCAAGCAGGCTCGGGCACAGGCCCGATACCGGGGCGCAGCAAGTCGCTGGCGGCCTCGGTGCACACATGAGTCGAGGCTCATACCTCGGAGGGGGGCCCAGCGGAGTACTTAAGCCGAACCGGGCCCGGGACAAGGACTTCTCACATGTAGGGTCAGGCGCACGACACAGGCACGAGGGAGACTGGCGTACCCAAGCGCACGTGCGCACGACTGAGCGGGGCAGAGGACAACACTGGCACGTACACGTGGAGATACTTGCGCCCATACGCGCGCACACTCGCGCATATCTGCACGCACACTCGCGCACACTCGCACATATCTGCACGCACTCGCGCGCACACTGAACACACCCGCACGCACCCGAGCACTACAGATCGGCGAGGGACAGAGCAGCGGGGACTTGCACATATTCGCGCGCACACCTTGCACCCCTGCACGCATTTGCTCGCACACGCGTGCGTATGTGCGAGCACACACGCGCTTACTCGTGCGCAGAAGCGCGCACCTACGCACATTCGCGGACACGCAAACACCTGCGCACACTCGCGGACCCGCGTGCACCTGCGCACATTCGCGGACACGCAGGCACCTGCGCACACTCGCGGACCCGCGTGCACCTGAGCACACTCACGGACACACGTGCACCTGCGCACACTCACAGTCACACGCGCACGGCGAGGGGGAGTCGCGGGGGAGTGGCGCACACCTGCGCGCACCCGCACCTCGCAGATCAGGCGGGGGACAGCCACACGTGCGCCCGCTCATCGCAGATCAGGTGGGGGACGACCACGCGTGCACTCGCGCACACCCGCGCACCATAGATTTGGCGCTGAACAGCCGCGCGCATACCCGCACACCCGCCCCGCCCTACAGGTCAGGCGAGGGACACAGTCGTGCACACCTCCGCGCTTAGAACGGGATCAGAGATTGGACACCAGAGAACATAGGCGCGCACTCGCGCGCTATCTAGCGGGAGAGGATAGGCGGGGCGCACCAGAGCGTACACGTGGGCGTGTTCCCTCGCATCAGCGGGACGGAACAAGAAGTCGGGCGAGCTGCAGACACACTCGCGCGCCCGTGCGATCTCTTGGGAAGCTCTCGGGTGGCAGGGCCCGCACTGTCAGCTTTGTGTGATAGGGCGGAGAACCCGTGCGCGGGTTCACACGCACCTGCTCGCCCGCGCACACGCGTGAACACGAAGAGGGACAATCCGTGCGTCTTCGGGTGCGGGCGAGGGCCAGCGCATCCGTACACCACGCAAGGTGGTATCTTTGGATACGGGTCTGGGTCACCGAACTTAACTGAGCTACGAAGCGCTGATCGGGCTACCACGCTGAGCCAGGCTACGGAGAGCAGATTGGATGATCAGACTTAGCAGGGCTTTTGGGGCGCGTTCGGGCACGAGGCGAACCGGGCCTTCTCTCGGACACGGCTGGAACGACGAGAACTTTACCGGAAGGGCACCCTGCCGAAAGGGGCGTTTTACCAGAGGGACACTCTACCGAAAGGGCTCTCTACCGAAGGGTATTTTAGCGAGCGGACACTCTTACCAAGCGAACACTCTACCAAAGGGGTATTTTACCGAGCAGACACTCTTACCAAGCGAACACTTTACCAAAGGGACTCTTTACCAAAGGGACACATTGCCGGAAGGGACATTATAACGAAGGGACACTTACCGGAGCGGTATTGTGGCATACTGTGCAGCCACACGGGCCTTGCAGGGCCCGTCCCGGACCTCCAACCTGTTTCCCTACAGGGAAACTTCCAGGCTCTTGCCTGGAAGCTTCCTTCTGGCAGGGCCAACAGGCCCCAGCCTGTTTCCCTACAGGGAAACTTCCAAGCTCTTGCCTGAAAGCTTCCTTCTGACAGGGTCTACAGGCCCCAGCCTGTTTCCCTACAGGGAAACTTCCAGGCTCTTGCCTGGAAGCTCCCTTCTGACAAGGCCTACAGGCCCCAGCCTGTTTCCCTACAAGGAAACTTACAGGCTCTTGCCTGGAAGCTTCCTTCTGACAGGGCCTACAGGCCCCAGTCTGTTTCCCTACAGGGAAACTTCAGGGAACTTCCAGGCTCTTGCCTGGAAGCTTCCGCAGGGTCTAGGCCAGAGGAGCATTGGCACGGCCAGCCTCCTGCACGGGCTAGCACTATAAAGGATTGGCCCGCCCTGCAGAAAAGGGGCGGTAGGCAGTTGGAGAGTAGGACGGTAGTCTTCAGATTTCGGCCGCAGCACTCAGGAGGAGCGCTGCAATAGTCTTCAGCGCTAGGCGGTAGTAGTAGCGCTAGCTGTAGTCTTCGGCGCTGGGCGCCCATAGCCATAGCTGTAGTCTTCAGCGCTGGGCGCTAGTAGGTGRTAGTAGTTGCAGTAGAGGGAGATGGCTGGCGGAGGCCAGCGGTACTTACCTGTGGCGCCATAGCTTCAGCTCCATCTTCGAGGTACCTGCATCAAGGCGCCAACTTCACAGGTTAGTACTGGATACAGAGAGAGAGAGAGAGAGTTCTTCTTCTTCCTCCTCTATGTCCACCATCTCTTCTTCCCCTCTCACCACCTGACTTCTCAGTAT